ACTCATCGGAACTAAACTTCCTGAAGGAGCCACGTGGCTCAGGGTCTCACCTCTCATCTGCCCCCAACCCAGTCTACTCTAAGATCAAACAGTGGCTCTCCGGGCCTCCCCACTCCTGGTCCCAAGTCCGGCAGGCATTGCCCTCTCACAAGGCTGGCCTGCAGCCTTTGCAGGTCAGCTACTTGCCTGCTGGAGATGCCCCTTCCTCTGCCTTGAGGATACCCCCTCCTTGGGTTGCTCCCCTGACTTTCTGCCCACTCCTTCCCTGCTTCTCCAAGGGCTACTCCCTTCCTTTTGCTGCCTTAAGATTCTAAGGGGGTTCTGGGGGCTTGGTTGTAGGCTCCATCTTCCCCCTTCTCTGGTCTCCCGCGATACTCTGAAGGCTGAGGGCTCAGGTATGAATTCCCTGTCTGCATGTCATTTCTGGGGGGCATTCAGAGACCCAGTAGCCTCTGGGCATTGCAGCAACCTGAGTGTCTTGCCAACAGCTCCACATCATCTTATCTAAAAGAATGATTGGCCATCATCTCTTCCTCTGTTCCAAGCACCACTTCACTCCTGCTCAGCCTAAAGATCCACCCTACCCATCCAAGGATCCGTGGTGTGAACCTGGTGTCAGCCTAGCCCTGGCTCTTTCCTGCCGCTGGCTGCCCCAGGCAGTCACCTTGTTCCTCTGCTGCTCTCCAGCCACCCATTCCTCTCTAGGACTATTCCCTTCCCTATTGCTTGCTCAAATGGGGGCAAACTCCTCTGCCCCACCCTGACCGTTCATTCTTCCCATGGCAGCCACAGTGTTCTAAAACGCACATCTGATGGGGTCTCACCACTGTTGAACACTTCCCTAGGCTTCTGTCACCCGCAGGAAGAAGCCCTGGCCCCTCAGCAAGGCTCACAGTCTAGCCCCTGCTCCCCATGTGGCCGCCTCCTCACCCTACTTCTCACCCAGCCCAAGCTGCACTCACCTAGCCCACCGTGCCCTTCTTTGGCCTTGTGGTGTTCTTCCCAGCCTCCTGGCTTTTGCCCTTGGGGGCCTTTCTCCTGCATATGCCCCCTCTTCTTTGCTAACTTTCTTCCTACCCTTCAGGACCCCCAAACCCCCACTCTGATACTGATCCCCACAAGGGTCTCCTGCTGTGCCTGGGAGCTTCCCCCACCTTTCTCTGTGCCCACCCTCTCCATGTGCTGCTGTTTCCTTATCTGCTTTCTCCACTAGACCACGGGCTCTTTAAAGACCCCCAGGCTTAGCTCCGTGTCTGGCACACCGATGATGCTTTCGTAAGTATTGTTTAAATAAATTACTGAATGTGTGAATGCCATGTTCCGTACACTCCTCTCTCCTAGTACACAAAGACATGTAAGACAGCTTTGGGGTGTGCATTTACTGTAGCTTTAATTTGTTAAGAAAGGAAAGTGGTGGGTGATGCTAGGGTTATGGAGGAATCAAGGCTGAAAGTGTGGGCTCTGGAGCCAAGATCCCGGGGCTCAAATCCAAGCTCTGTTTCTTGCTGAGGATGTGAGTTTGGGCAAGTTACTTCGCCTCTCTATACCTCAGGTTCGCTGTCTTTGAAATGGTGATGATAACTGTGCTCATCTCAAGAACTGTGGGGGAGGGTTAGATGCATTCATGCTTGAAAAGCCATTGAAGGTAGGTATCATTATTCCCATTTTACAGATGAGGAAGCTGAGACTCAGAGAGGTGATGCCGCTTCCCCGAGGTGGAGCAGCTGGTAAGGAGAGGGCTGGGATTTGAGCAGCTTCTGGGTGGAAAGCTCCAGATATACTACTCTACTATGGCCTGAAAAGGGTGCTTCGTGAAGAATCTGCTGTAGGGCCTGGTGCATAGTAGGTACACACTAAATATTACTCATGTAAACGGATCCCTCTGCAGAGACCCATCTAGGCTTCAGCATTTCCCGCTCCCTTAACAGTGTCGGGGGAGGTCTGTCTCTGGGTCCTTTTTGGCCAGGGTGTTGGCAGCAAACTCTTCCTTATTCAGACCTTTCTTCTGTCCCAGCATTTCATGGGGGAGGGTCATTAAGAAAGCTTTTTCCCAGGAAGAGCTGTGCCTTCTCCAAGTCTCCGGAGTTGAGTGCCCCAGCCCCCATCCTCTCAAAGGCTGCCCTTGTGGGTTTCAAAACAACCCCACTGCCCTACAGGCTGAGAACCTGGCCCCCGAGCCCCCTTTCCTTTAGAAACCAAAGGTCCATTCCTAGTTAAAGTCAGCATTGGTAAAACCTGAGGAAAATAGTTTGAGGATGTTTTCAAACAGTGTCTGGTAAAACAAAAGAGCAATTCATCCTCCCATCCTCCGTAGCTTTTAGTAATCTGCTTCCCATTCTGGGAATTAGATTGTTCAATTAAGCGAGAGGGTGCCGGAGCAGGCTGCATGACTCAAAAGTTTGCAGCATCCACATTGTGGAAGAGAGGGGATCTGAGCCAGCTTGTGCCTGGCGGGCCTGCCCCGCTTTCTCCCTCTGTCCCCATGCGGGTTCCAGTTTTCAGGTCCCAGGTTCAGAAAACAACTACTTCAACAAGAAGGCACGTGTGTGTGTGCGTGTGTGTGTGTGTGTGTGTGTGTGTGTACATGCATGTGTGCATGTGCATAGGCGTGCATACACCCCGGCTCAGTAGGGACCTCGTGTGTTCCTCCAGTGACAAGCTCAGCATCTCGAGTGGGCTGGTGCAGAGTACACCTGGGCTGTTTCTGTCAGCAGCAGCCCTGATTCCTTCCAGCTCTGGGTTGTCCCTTGTAGTTCACCAGCTGATAGGCATTGGGGATGCTTTGGGTGGCCGTGTGTAAGGCAGGGTAAGCCCACACAGCTCTTAATCTGGGCAAAGGAGAGCCAGTAGGTACCTGAAATTCCTGCAGCATTTTGGGAGCCAGTGTGTTTCTCTGGGGAGAAAGTCCATCCCTTTGGTAACTTCTCAAGGGATCCATGACTTCCTCCCTCAAACCCCTCTCCTCCTCCCTCCAAAAAAAATAAGTTTAAAAATGATTCGGGTGGCATTTGGAGATCACTCCTTCATTACCAAAAACTCTACTTCTGTAGTGCTCAAGCCTTACTGTGTATGAGAACTCCTAGGGGAAATCACAAAGTGTAGCTCCCTGGGAGCCACTTTGCAAAGGTTGGGACCCAGTGGGTCTGTGGGGGTGCAGAAAGGTTTGTATTTCTGGCAAACCTTTGGGATCAGGGATCATGCCCAGGGATCATGCTCGGGAACATGCTACTCTGTTATACTCATAGATTCTCTTAAAGGCCTCATTTAATAAGGCCTGTAGTTTTAAAATGAATTAAAGCCAGAGACTGCTAAGACATAAGAAGCAAATAAAATAACAATTGTTATTATAATTAAATGGCTGCCTCCTTTCCTTCATAAATAACTGGGACCTTTTTTTGGTCCACCTTATTCTAGTAGAGAGCAAGGGCCATATGATGCTTATCTTTTTTATCCTAGGGTCTGACATAGTGCCTGGCACCTAGTAGGTGCTCAGTAAATGTGTATTGTATTTCAGTGGATGTTCCCACTTCTCCTGGCTAAGGGTATGAAAGCTGATTTCCTTTTGAGTAAATCTATGACTGCACACAGTCTGATTTTGTTTGGGGGCCTGCCTGATTTCTCTGGCGGGGCTGGGGCTGGAGGGAGCCTGTAGACCAGTGCTAATTGGTGTCATTGAGTAATTAATGCAGAATCAGGCCCTGAGCGGATTCCCAGGGAGACAGACACTGAGGGTGGCTTTCATGCTTGGTGGGATGGGAGCTCCTTTCTCAAAGGACGTTCCCAGAGTGCCGAGGCGACTGGCTTGGTCTGGTGGGGGTTGGTTTGGCAGCCGGAATGGGATTCGTGGAGCAAGCTTGGAGAGGGGGTTTGTGTTGGTGCCATAGTTCTGCACAATATGGAGCGTGGCGAGTTTGACTTTAAAGGAACACAAACCCCAGGCATGGGCTCTGAGAGCCAGGCCTGCGTCAACTCTGAAGAATTGATGGGTTCTGAGGGAAGTGAGCCTGGTGGCATTAGCTTAGCTCACCCAGAGTCCTCCCTGTCCTGTGGTCTGGGCCCTCTGGGAAGCCTCTACACTTTGGCATGATAGTCAAGGCTCCCCCTGGTACCACCTCTGCTTACCTTTCCTGCTGTTTCCTTCTGATCCCTGCACCCCAGCTTGCTGTTCCCAAAGCACACCATCCTCTACTTCTGGTCATGCCGTTCCTTCCACCTAAAACCATCTCCACTTCCTTCTTCTTCTGACCAAATTCCACTTACCTTTCACAATTTGGCTCACATATCACTTCTTTCAGGAAGCTCTCCCTGACCCGCTGTAGCAGTCAGGATATGTTGGGTTATGCTGCAGTAACAAATGTCCCCAAAGAGCTCAGCAGCTTCAAGCAACAAAGTTATTTCCTGCTCAGACTATGTCTCTGACACAGTAGCAGGTGGTCACTCAGGAACTCAGGTTTTTCAAGGCTCTGTCTTGACACATGCTTCTGTAATGACAGCAGAGTTAGGGAGAAGAGATGATGGAGAACCATACCCCCAGTCTCTGGAAGCTTCTATCTGAAATGGCACGTGTTTTATTGTTGGTCAAACAATGGTCAAAGCAAGTCCTATGGCCCCCCTCAAGTTTGTCAGGGCAGGATGTAGGGGCTCCCTTCAGGGAGGAATATAGGATATTTATGGCTGGTAATATGATCTCCTGGGAACCCCAAGGTAGGCTGGATGCATCCTCCATCGGAGCCCTTTCCATGCTGTTCTTGTCCTACATTTGTAGACTTGCCTGTCTTTTTCCCCAGAGAGTGAATCCATGATCCAAGGTCCAGAGGGCTGCGTCTTGTTCCTCTCGGAGGCCCCATGCCCTCCCCAGAGGAGACATTTGGCCCATGGTGGACGTGGGTGAATGAGCACATGGGCCAATCCCTGCTCCTCTGCAGCACTAGCTTTGCTGAAGATGGGCCAGCCCCAGCCCCAGCCCCAGCCCCAGTGACTCTCCACCCTACCTTCTGCAGGCGCCGGGTCTTGGCCATCTCCGATGGGATCGAGCACATCGGGAACCTTCGCTGGGAGCTGGCCTTGTGTCTCCTGGCAGCCTGGACCATCTGTTACTTCTGTATCTGGAAGGGGACCAAGTCTACAGGAAAGGTAAGAGGTCAATCTTCAAGCAGCTAATCGTGGCAGGGGAAGGCATGAGCTCACAGATGACCCAGAGAATAATGGGGAGTTCATGTTGCAGAGGCTAGCACTTAAGTTGGGAGGCGGGAGGAACACTGGACCAGAGTGAGCTCTACCCACCCTCAGCACTTATTGGCCGCCCACGTTAGGACAGTTCAATTTTACCTTCTGAGCCTCAGTTTGCACATCTATGAAATAATAAAGCCTTGCCCTGTCTGTCTTATTGAGTTGAGAGTTATACAAGGTAAGAGGGTTAAAGTGCTTTGAAAATTGGGAAATGCTGAACTACTACAAGGATTCTTTGGTAATGAAGACAGGGGTTCTAGGTGTGCATGAGGGCAGATGATGCTGGCTGCCTCCACTGACAGACCCCAAGATCTCAGGGGTGTATTCCTCCCTCACCTGGAGTCTGGAGGAAAGAGAAACTGCTTCATCTTGCAGCCTTGCTGTGTCACCTGCACCATGCAGTCTCCCGGGTTGCTGCCTCACCAGGGAAGAGAAACTGGAGGAGGCTAGCTTTTAACTGCCATGGTCTGGGAGTTACACGTGGCTCTTCCACTCACAGGCTGTTGGCCAGAACCTGAGACACGGTGTCACCTACTGCACAGGGGCTGGGAAGCAGAGGGGACCATGGGGACATTTGGGGAGTGAAAATGCTGTGCACTGCAAGGATCAGTACAGAGGTTAGAAACTTGCAGCCAAATCCAACTCACTTCTGTGTTTACTTTAAAAAGGCGGGGAGGGGAAGAATTCGTTGACAACATTTAAAAATCAGGATATTTCATGTGGAAAAAAAAAATCTGATTCTGGCATCCCTTGGAAAGTAAGATTTGGCAACCCTGGACTTGCCTGCCCACACAGCGGCATGTGTTTGAACTGAGCAGCTGCCACCTCCTTCCAGGGAGCTCTGGTTGGCCACAGTCCCCACCATTCCCTATCGCCCCCAATCCTGTGGCTGAGTGTTGATGCCAATGGTTTCCTCATTTTGCTATTCATTTTTTTCTTACAAAAAAGGGGGAAATGAAGCATCTCTTATGCCTGGGTTGCACTGACCACATCCCTCCTTGCCTGCCTCCTTCCCATAGGCCATTGCTCATAAACTCTAAGTTCTTGGCTGGGGCTGCTGCTGGAGATAAAACCTCCAGGGAAACAGGAACTTAACAATTCTGGGCCCTTTTCCAAAAGATGTTCCCCTCAGCTCCCACAGTGGTGGGTAGGATGAAGAAGAAACTGCTAGAATGTTTGAGGTGGGCGGATCTGCAGGAAGGAAGCCAAGGTGTTCCGTGCTACGGGCTATCTGGAAGCTGAGGGTGCACTTAAAACAGTCACACAGATGCAGAGGGACCGCAGAAAGTAGAGCAGAGATTCTCATGTCCCTGCAGCCAAGGTGATTTTGCTTATATTTGCTTTTTGTAGTTCGTATCATGAAGAAAATAGGATTTTTCTTTTTCCAACTATAAAACTGTGTCATTATTGATCTACTTCTTCAGACTCCACACACAGTCTCCCATCGTCTTCCTTGCTGCCTCTTCCAGGAAAAAAGCTGGAGGGTATAAGAGTAAGGATTCAAACCCCAGGTCTGTCACTCTCTAGTCGTGACCTTGGGCATGTCGCTCCACTTCTCTGAGCCTCAGTTTCCTCTTCTGTAAGATGTGATGGATAAGTGAGCTTACCACCACATGAGGTGGTTGTGAGGATGAAATGCAAGGAGAGTTGAGTATGGCCCGTGCTCAACAGAGAGAGTAACTAGTAGTAAATGCTGACTAAGTGGCAATCTTTAAAAATCTCATTATAAAGATAATTCAAGTCGTTGTTTCTGAGTATTTACTATATACTTAGCATTATTCAGCAGGTTTCTAAAGATGAATAAAACACAGCCTCTACCCTACCCAGACAATATATGAAAGTGCTTCATGAACCGTGAAGAGAAGGGAGGAGGTATCATGGTTGGTATTATTACTAATTCTGCTATGGTTACCACCTCTTGGGAGTTGACACAGAGGCCTGTGGGGCTTGGCGGGATGGCGGCTGTGCGTGGGTGCAGGAAAGGTTGCCTGCACGAGGCTTGTGTATAGACATGGTTGGACTGTTCCAGGACCTCATATGGCCTTGAGCTGCAGGCCCCAGACTGTGGGCTGCAGCAGTGCGGTTTCACTTAGCCAGCAGGAGAAGACTCAGTCCGGTAGTGGGGCCGTTCGCTGCTGACTGGGCAATTAAGTCTGAGCGCTGGAGAATTCTAATGCAAAGAACTGAGTTCGACGAAGGGCCAACAGCTAGGATCTCAGAGATTTCACAAGAGGCTTATGGGGAAGGCAAGGGAGTGAACACTTATCCACTGCTTTCCACTCCCTGGCATCTTGCAAGAGCTACAGATCCTCACAGCCTGGCGAGCTGCTGCCTCTACCTTACCAGTGGAGAACCTGGGGCTAAGGGAGAGCGGGCAGCCTGGCCATCGTTGCATAGTGACCCTGCTTCAACACTGACCCCAGGCAACTCCCCCCTTGCCTCCCCCTGGACTCTCAATTAAGATGTAGAACATTGTGTTGTTTTGAGTGGTGTCTTTTCACAAATCTTCCCTGAACCTCGTTTTTCTCATCTCTGGTAGGAGTGGTAGTGATGGCAGCATGATAATTATTAGTAGTAATGGTTAATATTTATGAGTGCTTCCTTTGTGCTTCTCATGCCTACTGCATTTAGGTTTTGAACAGCCCCATGAGATGGTGGCTGTCGTTATCCCCATTTTACAGATGAGGAAACTGAGGCATGGAGGGATCAATAATTTGCTCAAGGATCCTCCAGTAGGAAGCAGAAGACTGGGATTAACTTCCAGCACTGGGGACCATGCAGTCCATGTCCTGGATATACTGTCATACCTGTCATCTGTGATGGGAGGACTATGGTGATTTTCTTATGGACTGGTTATGAAGAGGTATTTAATGAGATAGCACATAGTAGGTGCTCAAGGATTATTGGCTGCAGCTCTTTCTAAATGGTGCTTTTAAGGGAAATGCTGAAACCAGATGAGCCAAGTAAGTATTTTCCTGAAGACTGGGTTTCTCCTCCAAGTGTCCTGTGCCCAAGGCCAGCATTAGTATCCTGGATGAGATGCAGTTTGCTGGAGCTGTAAGAATCCTTAGAAATGGTTTGGTTCACCTCTGCCCTTATTTTATGGATGAAGAAACTGAGGCTCAGAGAGTGGAAGGGCTTGCCTGAGGTCACATAGTGAATAAGTATCAGGCCAGGAGTGACAGCCTGGTCCCCAGTTTCCCAGCTTGTTATGAATGATGAGGTTCTGTGGGGGCACATCTGGCAGTTTAGAGAAACCCCGAGTCCGTGAATTGATAGGTAGGCTTTTCAGGGGAGGATCTGGCACTTTTGTTCCTGTTTACGACTTGCTTCACTTTAGAGACGAGCCCAGCACCCAAAGGTTTTTTTGTGTTCTGTACAAAAACAGCTAAAAATAAAACATGGGGTCATTTGAAACTTCCCAAGTGGGCAGAGGTCACCCCTGCCCCTGGCCTGTGGGAACCTAGCCAGATCCTTTTTCACGAGGCTGTTCGAATAGGAAGAAACCCATCTCCCAGCTATTGTCCAGCTGCGACTAGCTTTGTGTTCCCTCTTCATCTCTTCCCTGAAGTTCCAGTTTGCTGCCCATACTCAAGCCTCAGCACAAATTTCCATTTATAATAAATGTTCGTTAATTCAAGAAAAAGTCCCCAGACCCCACCTATCTCCAAGGGATATTAAAACAATATCCCCAACTTTAAGTCAATTCAGTGAGCATTTCACCTGCTCAGGGAGGCAGACACTGTAGACCTGGCCTTTCAGCAGGTGGTTCTGTAAGTGAGGATTTGGAATCAGGTCATGAATAAGTTGATCTGAAATGGGGCTATAACAACACCAGAGGTGAAGTCCTAGAAGCACTGGTGTTAGCGTCTCCCTGCCGGGACAACATCCACACATGTTCTTCTCCATGAACCACCTTGGGCACCTCCCAGTATGCTTCACAATCTTTTGACGTTAGGCATGTGGGATTTCCCCCAACCTCGGGGTCCGATGAGCAATCTGTTCGCTCAGAAGCAGTTTTTTTAGTTCTTGCTCTAGACACTACTGGAAATTTCAGAAATCTCCTATTTAAAAAAAGCCTTTCTCAATTGTGTGTTAAGTCCTGCGAAAACATAGGATTCTAAAGTGCTTGCTTTCTTCAGGAGAAAACTTCCAGACTGTTTGTATCTTCTGGATGATGCAAAGTTTCAGTTTGGATAATTGAAGTGGGGATAATTGAAATTAAGTGACCAGAAAGTGGAGACGTCTTTGTGATTTTCCTGTGTCTTTGTTTTTTTCATCAATTGAATCCATCTTGCCCATTCCTGTCACCAGCTCCTCCTGGTCTCCTGGGTCTGAAACCACTCAGGCATGTTGGATACCTCTCATCCAATTATTGACCAAGTCTATTTTTGTTTAAAAAGAAAAACACCAAAAACATCCTGTCCTCTCCATTTTTGTTTCCCACCCACACATTCAAGAAACATTGAACCTTCAGTAGTTCCCTAGTACCTCCAGAATGAAAATTGCCCTTAGAATTTCCCATTTGCACAAACATTGCAGACATGCAGAATGATAACAACTGAAATGCTTTATATTCTATGAAACAACAATTTCACATAAATTCAGAATTGTAAACTCTATCTTAGGCCAAAGCATGCACAGCAATATTAATGTTTTGTGATATTTTTCTAGTATCTCTGTGCACATTTGTTGAAGCCAAAAAAAAAAAAAAAAAAACCTTTTCATTACTGTGTGTCCTTCTCTTGTGGTTTTGGTAAGCTTTAATCTAATCCAGGGATTGGCCAACTATGGTTTTAGGGCCAAATCCAGTCTGCTGCCTGCTTTTGTAAATAAAGTTTTAATGGAACACAGCCACATTCATTCACCCACATATTATCCCTGGATGTTTTTGTGTTTCTACG